ACAGATGGAAAAAATTACTATACGCAATATAAAATATATTCTTAACCTTAAGTACTTAACTAAAAATGTATTTACAACATTGATTTATATTTAAAAAATAAATATTTGTTGTAAAAAAAATCAGATAATTAATGTTATTAAAAATTATTATTACCTACCAATTTATTATACCTAGTATTCAAAATAAAATTTCTGGTTTAAAAAAAAAAAATCATAATCAAAACGTACAAAACACATATTACTCAAAATGTATAAAGGTCAATAAAAAAACATTTTAAAAATTACATTATTTTTATACTCTATAGTCTATACATACTAAATTTAATTTTGCTTGCAATCAACATGCATTTTTTTTTTTTTTTGCTGGATGTTGTCCAATTTCTCTCTGGCCTAATTTAACAAATTTATCCCATACAACAATTTGTAATCATAATATTATAATATTATCATTACACAATAATTTCTATTTGCGATGTTCCTCTTTTATTCCATTATAATACTTTCTTCATGTTTTTGATTTCGAACTTTTTTGCTATCGAGCAATTCACAACCTATAGGAAATATTTAATAACATGGGCGACTGCGAAGAGGTTTAGTGGGATTCAAAGGGGCCACAACCTTCCCTCTATTTTAGTTTTTTATCAATCGTTTAATCACTTTTTTTTATAGCTTTTATTTAAAAATCACTTTTAAAAAATAAAAAATAAATGTGTGATCTGTGTTATCAGAAATGTTGTCATTGCCCCTCCCCGCCAGCTTATAATACTGAGGGCACCCTTAGTGTTTAATGTCGAATAATTTCATGGCAAGAATTTTCGGGTGGTGGTAAACTCTCCCGGGACGGCGGGACGGCTAACATGTTTACCTGAAGTAAATGCGTAAACTCTCCCGAGTTGTTTTAAATGTTATTGCAACGCTATGAATTGGTTTCACTGCAGGGATGTGATTATCATTTTAAATATTTACCATCAATTGCATTACCGTTAACCTGTATTTGTAATTTAAATATTTGATTACCATCAACCTATTTTTAATTTAAATATTTAAAACGATTTTGACTATAATCATGGTTCAATCAAGTTTTTCAACCTTCCCAACTGCGTAATACGAAAAATGCCCCATGCTCGCCTAGCTTAGTAGTACTGAATTAGTGAAGTATTGTACAGACCCGGGTGAGCTTACATGTTCCCGTTAGGTAGTATTGGAGTAGACCCGGGAGAGTTTACAATCGCCCAAATTTTCTTCTCTGACATTTTTTATTTCGGTCTTATTGAACAAACTTCACTGTTTTCGGCCAAAGCTTACAGAGTTCCCCTTTCGCCCACTAGTTTTTTTATTAACATTATTACCAACAACTGGGTGAAAATATAATAAAATAAAACAATTGGAAATTGTACTATTGTCTATTTGTATAGTCTTCACTCTTCAATGTAAGTATAATTTGGTTTATAGTCGGTTTTTTTGAAATAAAGATAAGCCAGTATTATTCCTTGTTAATTGTTTGATATAATATAATGAAAAACGAAGCCCAATCAGTTATAGTGATGTGTCCTATAGACAATAGTGTAGCAAGAGAGGTAGTATTGTATAGGCCATAGGGTAATGCCAATATGTTATACCTTGTCGGCTTATCCTTTCCATCTTATCTAATATAGTAATATATATATAATATTATGGGCATTATAGAAAATCAATTAGGTACATGTATATTTTTTTATCATAACTATTATTACCTGTATGGCTGTATAGGTTTTATAAGATTATATTAATTTTTATTCAACTATTGTATTTGGAAACCTTAACTTTCGACACATTCGTGAATGCATATTTTATTATCATAAATTATTATTATATAGATACCTATTATAAGACTTTATTCATTTTTATTCGAATAATGTAATATGTTATAACAGTTTATTGCCAATTGTTTTATTTTAGTATTTCTTCACACAGTTGCAGGTGAAAAAGGACACAGTAAGTTTTGGCCGAAAAGGGAATGGTAGCATGGTACATTTCGGCCTAAAAGTGACACTGGCCGAAAAGGGGGCCGCCGTATTGAACGTTTGCATTTTGTGAACTACCTACCTAATAAAATAAAGTACCTATATAAATAATAGGTATTTATCAAATATATTATAGTAAGTAATAGCGACACCCGATAGACTATCGATTAGACACAAATACAAAATTACGTCAACTAGGTGCATACCTTTGTATTATAATATTACGTTATACTATTATTTCAGTTTAAACGTATTATGAATAAATATCTATGGGTAATAATAATAATAATACCTATCTACGTACCTATCTACATTCTACATACCTATCTATCTACTTACTTACCATTGACGTCAAAATAAACTATGATTACACAACGATAATTAGTGCGAAATTAATCGCTTATGCAGCAAAATAATATCAATGTTTGTATATAGGTACATACTGTACATAGCCACATAGGAACGTACATAGTACATTCAATATTAAACTATACATATCTCGCGCATTATAAATTAATTATAAACCAAGTAAAAATAAAAATCCCGGTCATCTAGACAGGCTTAAAATGACCGTAGGTGTGTGTGTTATGAACGTATAATATATAGCTACACCAAATTTAATACTCAAAATTCAAAATCGTATATTATTTGAGCGTACCTATCTGCTTATTGCATATTTTTTTTTTTTATAAAAATCCTTTTACAGATTACTGGGTCTCGCTGAGATAACTCGTGGGAGGCCCAGGGTTATCTATATAATACAATATTTATATAATGTTATTAGTTACCTAGGTATTAACTACATGGCTACATAGCTACGTATTGTCGTATTATTATTACAATATTACATTATGTAATACTTATACTCCACGTGCCACTTATACTTTAAAGTGATCTCTATAGTCTATGCGTAAGCGTAATAATTACACCTAACTACCTACCTAAGTGGTGTATCTGAATCTCTTCCAAGGGAGGCAATTTTATTAAAATTTGATAATACAATATTGTTAACAGACTGGTCCGCGGTTCCATCAATCAACTTTTCTTGTATTTTTCTTTTTATAACAGTAAAGAGAAATTCATCTTCTTAAAATTTAAAAATTGGTTATCTATTTGTAAATAAATAAAATTCTTTTGATTTTGATCTCTTATTTTGAGCTCATAGGATGTTGTACATACTGTTAGCCTTTTCAGAATAATGATTTTGATAAATTATTGAATACCTAGGTAGTTTTTAACTGAAATGTAGGAATTAAACATTTATAAACCCCTCATACTTAGGTAGTTGGTTACCTATGTCATTTTCATAATTTGTTACCTATCTTAACTAAACAAATGAGGACCCTTCTTGCCTTAATATATAACATTTTTAGCATATATCTACTTGTTGTTTGATAATAATTTTCATATAATTGTTTATATGTACCTTTTTTACCTGGGCACAAGCCCGTTTTTTATAAATAAAATAAAATAAAAATAAACTATCCATCACTCTCTTCAACTACCTTTTTTTTTTTTTTGTTTGGAACCACGGCACAAGGATGAACTGATTTCACAAGCCTTGCTCCTGTGCACCACCGTTTATTGAAATAATCAAGACGCATACAATTATGGCACACATTGAAGACTGCCTACATTAGTTCGATGTTAGTTATAAGTGTATTGCGCAAATTCTTGGTCCCAGTGTGTGTACATGCTAGGCATTGTTTTTTTTTTCTTAACTTTCCTTGTGATCCTAACAAAAGTCCTACCTAACTGATCAGATAAAAGGTTGGATATAATTAGTAATTCATGTTTTTCACATTATAAATCATATTATTTATTTTTTAAACCGCATATTCAGATTTTGGTAGACACTTGAAATACAACTCAGTACAATGTGTACACCAATTTATTATGTCACAATTACAACTACTTAGAGAATTATAAATTAGGGTACTCAAAAGCTGTTGTTAATAAGACATAAATTATCTAAATCGTAATCCATCCAATTGGCTATTTCTAATACAGGTTTAGGAGGTGTACATCAAATTTAACTTAAAATAATAATTGTATTTACTTGAAAATGTTACATTGATTAGTGTAAGGTGACAGTAGAAGACAAGAAAAGTTTTATGAACCATAATACGTCCAAATTAAAAGGTCCAAATTTTATCCAGTCAATACGGACACACTAGAAGAAGCAAGTCTATAATATAATTGGCCAGACATAACCTATTTTATTATGAACAAACAACTAGAATGGTTTGGGTATGCGATCAGGTAATAAGTAGAGATTGATGGAGCGATTTTGTGATGGCATAGCTGATACTGAGTTAAACGTTAAGCTAAAGAAGACGAATATGAAGATTTTAAATTAATATTATTAATAAGAAAATATTGCATACCATATTAAAAAGTTTCCAAATTCCATGAGTATTTACTGAAAAATGTTTAACATATAACATTTTTAGGGGTTTTTAACATTAAAAAAATGTATCATAATGTAAGTAGCTAATAATGTTATCTTAACTAGCTTAACACAATTAATATAAAACATAATATAATGTTAAATAGAACAAAATAATTTAGGTACACTTGAAGAAAAAACTCAATTGTTTTAAAGAAATTATGTCAAATGTATTATATCAAATTATATGAAGACAATTAATCAAAGTATCTACATACTTGTGTATTTTCATAAATCATAATAAATAAAAAGTCTAAAAAGTTGTAGGTATATTTCACTATTTTAGCTACCTTATATTTCAATTTTTTAAATATTTTTAAGTTGTTCTAAATTTGCATTATGATTAACAATTACACAACAATGATACAATTATTAAGTGTTTTTTTTACAGTGTAATCATAAAAATATTTTTAAAGTGTTACACAATTTCCATCCATGGCATGTAATATCTTAAAATATAAATTCATCATTAAAAAAATCAATAGTAATAATATGTTCACTTTTTTTCATTTTTTACAAATTTAATACAAAAATTATGCTTATAAGTAAATGTAAAAAAAAATAGTATAAGAATATTTGTTATTTGATATTAATACATTTTTATAAAATATTATTTTTAGGCCTAATTTACTTTGGAATAAAGTACATTTGTCTCATATGTTTTACTAATAACACAAAAATATTGATAGTCTTAACATGATGTTAGTTATAACTTATAAAATAATGATAAAATGAACAATCGATAAATATAAATATAAATTAATTAAACAATAAAATATGATATTATAACACATAAAAGTTTTGAATAATATAAAGTATAGGTTCAATAATATGTATACGCTGACTATATTAAAGTTTGTTGTTTATTCAAACAAATAACAATCCACTGGACGGAAACAATATTGCACTAATTTGGTAAATCACTAAGCTTAAATAAAGATGTAATTTAAGTATAAATAAGATACATATTTCGAATAGGTTTATTTTAATATAATAATTTTTATATAATGTAATCTTGTATGTGCACAATTTTCAGAAATTCTGAGAGTATGTTTACTACATATAATAGAATAATAATAACTGCACAAGTACCAAAAAAATTTCAAAGACCAATTTCTCAATAAAAAAAATAACAAAGCATTAAACTAAACAATAAATCAACACACAAAAAAGATTTAAGACCTTTAAAAACTTCTATTTTCCAGAATTTATTTTGAATGCAACTACTGTAGCATGATCTAACTTACCTGGCACACCAAACATTTTTCTTATAATTTCTTTTCTTTTTTGTCTTACTTCTCCTTGAGCTAAAGGTTTTCCATTAGCGTCTGCATATATTTCCATATCTTCTAATATACGACGTTTAGCTGCAGTTAACCTGGTTACAAAGTCTAATAATAATGTTACTAAGTCTTTAGCTGTATCTACTGCTGGTCCCTTTCCAGATACCCCATTACGAATCAAATCGTCTGTTCTTAAGAGGGAAAGCTTGTGTCTTTGATATGCTTCAACGTTGGGAAGTCCTAAAAAAAAAATTGTTTAGTTGTAAAAGTATTATTTTGGAAAGGACATCATTAAAATATCATCATACCAGTAAAATGGCCAACCACGGGATCTAAATTATCGGATACGCCATCAGAAGTAATAAAAACTATATCATCCAAATCAACTTGTGTAATGGACAAAGTCAAGTTTGACAATTCAGGATTATGTCCATCAACAGGACCTAAAGCTCCCATGACATCTCTCATGTCTCTCATTCTGTGAACATCATGCGAGCCTTGAGTAAGTTCTCTTACACCATACTTGGAACTATACACATAGCCCAGACTGTCACCAACATTACAACAACAGGCTACATAATGATTATCAACAGTAGAAGGAAGTACTACAATTGCTGTAAGTGTAGTCAAAGTTCCTTCTTCTTGTAGTATCATATTATGGGCAGCATGGAAGGATCTCAGTAAAGTCACAAGGACATCCTGCAATTATAAAAAAAAAATGTCTTATATGAAAACAAAATAGCTAATTTATAAAAGGGCATTATGTCCAGAAAACCATTTTGATTTCAATTAACATCAAATTACATTGTCTTAGTGATAAGATATGGTCAAAAATGGTATTAAAAGTTTTACATTTTATTTTGTTGCATTAAATTAATAGTTTAAAGTAAAGAAATAGATTTTATTAAAAAGTAAATACATTTTTAAATTTTGACAAAATGTTTGAGTTACCTTTATTTAACGATAGAATGTTCATACATTCATTTTTATTTTATATCCTTTTAGTAAAAAAAAATCTGTAGATTTTAAATAATTTACATTATGTATAGAAATGAATGAAATAGAATAAAAAAATTAACAGTAAAATAAATAATATCGATAGAGTTACAATTTTATTTTTTTCTATTTTAAAAGCTGTATAAATGATATATTTAGTATTTACTGTAGTGTTTTTAGGCGATTCTTTGTCTGCTGTAAATATAGTTTTGTTCAAATAGTCAACACAACCATGGACAGCAGATCTAGCTGCAGTCCTTGATTTGACACCCCAGTTAACACCATCTGCCAACACCATTATTGCAGAATTTGCTCTGGTTACAATAGCAAAACAATCAGCAATTGGATCACCCGTATGACGATGAGTTATGGGATGTACTTCATACAAAGAACAACTGGCACCATATGCATTAGTGTGGGGAACATTCCAATTCTCAACACCAGCTACCAATGGTTGCCCTAGAAATCATAGATATGGTTAATAATCAATGAGCAAATTTAAATGTATATTTTGTAGAAACTCACTAAGCTTTTTTAAAATATTTTGTTTAGACTCAACATTTAAAGTTTCATCAGTTGAATCATTAGTAGACACACTCACTTTCTTTTCCCCATTATCTAATAATAAAACATTACTATTTAATTTGGTAATTTAGAATACATATATTAACAGTTTAAATTGGTCAAAAAACTTACGACTATCGTCTTCAAGATTATCAATAAAATTAATTTCTGGATCACTTGCTGACAAATGTTTTTCTGTTTGATTAACAGCAATAAGGCCACCGTGTGGTCCAGTCAAAGATGATACCACTTCGTAACTTTTAATGGCACCTAATTGTTGGGGCGGCACTTCCTGTGGAGTTCTCCCATGCAAAATAATTGGTTCGTATTTTTGGACTTCTCGGCTAAAATCATTTGTATACATGTTTAACAAAATGTTTAGTTTAAATCTCTACAGAAAATCACACTTGCTGAAATTTGGAAATTTGTAACTAATACCTAAATCAAATAAACCAAACACTGATCCATATTAATGGGAGAATTCTAGTTAATACTGGCAAATATGGGCAAGCCACTTTCACTTTAAAAATATCTCCTCATGAATGTCATTAACTAAGTAATTATGAACAACATTTTATCCCTGTCTGACCTGGAGTTAAATATTTAGGTACATCATTATTGATGGACTCAACACAAGGGCCTCATCATTTTAAGGGAAAAATAAATCCAGTCCTTATACAATTATACTCCCTGCATTCTCTTTAAAATTCCAAAATGCCACTACATAAAATACTTCTTAAAGTAATACTCGGGGTAATACTCATACATAGATAATCATAAGGATCGTTTGGAATTGCAGTCTGCAATCCTGCAAAACACTCTAATCTCAGGTGGATTCAGTCATAAATCATAATATCTATTTCACTGAGGATATTATAAAGATTGTAAATAGTCTTCAATTAAATAAAAAATTCAAATCACTCACCCAGTAAGATATTTTTTAATAAAACGATTTGAAGCGTTCTCATCATTCCTGGACTCTGATGGCGCTGAAAACTGCCTAAAGAACCCAGAGAATTTCTGCCTAAAAGATGGCATGTTAGTTTTCTTTATACGTTGTTAGAAATACGATTTCATAGTTTTGCTAAATTCTTTTGCCTTAACATAATTATCTTATTATTAATTCTTTCAGTGAACACCTCCTGAATAAATAAACACAGGAAGCAGTAAGTACGTTTCGCATCGACTAAAATATATTATGAATTATGACACTTCAATCGAGTACTGACTACCAAATAGATTTAACTTTATCAGTATAAGATATTAAGATATCAATATCAAATATCAATGCATCCATGCCGAATGTTGATTACAGGAATGATGAATTGAACTGATATGAGTAGGGGTGCTCAAAGTAGGTCATTTTTGTATTTTCTCGGCGTTAATTCGTGTTATTATAGTAAGTTATACAGACAATGTCTCGAACCAGCTGACGAGTGACGAGTGCATAGTGCATTATTTATACTGCATTAGTGCAATTATTGTACATAAGTACTAAAGTACTGTACTGCAAAAATTTGAAATCCGCAATGTTTACTTTTGAATTCAGAAAAAGAACTTATAATACCTATCCATGGGCTACGTATTGTATTATTTGTATTTCATGTACCCTCTCCTAATATGACTCAAATACATTGCTCGAAAATCTATAGAATGTCACATTCCTGATAGGTACCTACCAATGACCGATTACTTGAATTATTTGCTCCACAGCCCTTAAAGTCGAAAAATTATTAAAATCTCCTTCATTTGTCAACAAACGACAGAATTCGAGAGTGCCGCAAGGCTGTAGCAACTCAAAATGTGTCATATTTACGTTTTATGTTTCACTTGAGTCTTTTAAGAACAAACTCTCTACACTCCACAAGATTAATAACTTATTGGACGTTTTATGAAAATTTGTAGGTAGGTGCCCGATTTAAACGTAAAACCTATTAGCAAAAAATATACATTTTATGGTACTTTTGTTTTGCGAAATTTCAATGATGATAAATCAAAATGATTTTTTTTTTGTTCTGTACCTTCTTCAAGTTACAACAGTACATAGGTTAGGTACTGACTTATTATACTCCTCATGATGATTATTAGATAGATGAATAAAAAAATAAAAAATATATTCAATATTATATTCCTAAGTTAAATAGTAAATTATAAACGTACTTATAGGTGTGTATAAGTACAGTGGAGCCCATAGGTTTTCTGTGAACCAGTGTAGTTAATAGTTATTTAATAATAGGGCCCTCAAATTTATTTTGGTCTAAATTTCATTCAACGATCTTAAGTCCAGATGAATAGTAATTTATCGTGTTTGATCAAGAGATCAGAGTGCCCCCGCTCCCCAATTATGTGTACCACGAGAAATCGATGCAATTTCACTATTTGGTATTTTACGAGGGCGTCACTGTATAAGTATAATATAAAAGTTAAGTACCAAAGTATAAACATGAAAAAAGAACATTGATGATTAAATAAGAATTTTTATTTTATTTGGAATCCAAAGAAGAACTCGTTCATTTTCCCAAGGAAAGAATTCTTTTTTTTAAGGAACAATGATCGGAACTTGCCAAACAATGCGCCCATACTAAATTTTATTGAGTTTCTGACTCCGCGCTACCTATTTACTGGCCTACGGACTACGACTAACAATAATTTATCAATAAATTATTACTGTTAATTATTCCAGGATCAAATATAACCATGCAGGATAAAAATTAATTGATAATCAATAATAATTGTATGATATATACGAGTAAAGTATAACTGTAAGATAATTTATTAAAAATTCATTATTCAGAAAATCACTAACGTGGGTATTAACGTTTAGAAGTGTGCGTTTTAAATTCTACAAAAAGTCAAAAACTAATAAATTCAAAACATCGAGAGGGAAATAAATACCTAGCTCGAAATTTGTACAGCTGCATATTGTAGAATATAGAACGCATTTTGTGTTAGCGAAATTATGAACAAAAAATGTTATTCGGAAGCGTCAATTTAGAAAAATGTGAATGATATAGGTACAAGGCGTAGGTAACAGAATACAGAAGACCTGAAAAATTAACTAAGTAACTTTTATTGTTCTAATCAATATTAAAACATTTTATTTTGTTATATTTATCATTTAAAAACGTTTGCACAAGTAAAGTGTATAAGATTTTTTATTTTTATTCTTTAAAAACTGAAAATAACAAGTTTGAAATATTGTACTACCTAAACTTTTTTTGGAAAAATTCAAAATAGTCAATTTGTGAATCAATTTTTTGGACACATTTTGATGGTAGTTACGTTTATTCGAGTCAAGTAGTTTATTTTTTATTTTTTTTATTAGGTACATAGTACCTATATAATAAAGTATACCTATGTAGTATGTTCAATAATGTATAGCAAGCTCGTGGAGGGGGGGCACGAGTCTTAACTTACAGCAATTACAAGTTTTATTGAATATTACATTAATTTAATTTAAAAATTATTTATACTTAAGATATAATTAACGCTTAAAAATATAAAAGGTTAGAGTAGGTATTGATGATATGAAAATTACAATATAGGTGAAATATCAGCAGCTTGTTGTAGCCATTTTGTTAAATTTAGCTTGAAATTTGAATATAGCATAATTCATATAGGTAGTATATTTCATAAAGTATCAATATGTACGCAAGTATGTTTTTATGAATATTTGGACTACTTAGGATCAGTATAATATAGAAAAAAGTGGTGGATAGTGGTTTTATTAACTTTGTGCTTACTAAATGTTGTGTAATGATGTTCAACTGTTTAAGTCACACCTTTTTTACAATAGTAGATTAAAAACTTTAATTAATTAAAGCTATATAAAAGTAAACAAACATTTTGGAAAATTGAATACTGTTAATGTTGGAATAGACTTATGCAGGCACGCCCGCAGAGATGTAGCTCACTAGGTGCAAAATATTTTTAATATCAATATAAGATGTGGGGGGCTTTGCCCCCCACACCCCCTAAAACTTATTACATGACATATATTATTTATCATCAATAATGGGTATAACAAAATATATTTAAAACATAACTCATTTTATTTATTACTTCTTATAAAATATAAAAATTAGAAAGAATTTTAGATGTAAACACACACATACATATATACATAAATAATAGTGTACCACAGAATAGATGTCAGATAACGAAATTCATAATAATATTATTGATGACCAAAATAAATGTAGACGCGTGGTTAGACGTGGCTGTACACAGTACTAAAATGCGGCAGACGGTGGTATCTCAGAATAGACAGATGCCTGAATAGCTAATAAGTATTTAATATTTACTATATTGGGAATAATCATGGGCATAAATTAAAAATTTACAGAGAAGGAATTTTTATATTTTATTATTTATTTGAAAAATCCAAATTATTAAAATTCTCTGGTGGTGCATTTGCACCACCTGGCCCCCCCTCCGGGCGTGCCTGGGCTTATGTAAGAAATTAATTATTAATACCTATCACTAAGTTTAAAACAAAATCAATGTTAGGTTTTGGTTATTTTGTAAAAATATTTGGAGTTCAAATGATTATAAAAAAAAGTCGTTACTATAAGAACATAATATGATATTATGTTGTATTGTATTTTCAAGCTTTTTGACTCCTCGAACATATTTTAATCGATATTTATAGAAAAAAAAGTAAAAAATATTGAAAATTAAAAATGTTCAAGAATTGTTCAAATAAAATCAAGATTTTTTTAAAAATTATGCCAACGTCAGTACGTCACTAATGGATAAGCAATTCACACACACTATGGGCCATGGGCAAGACGGGCAACCATGTCTATAATGAGTACCTAATGGATAATGGATCCGTATAAGCATCTAACAAACACATTTTTATTAATATTACAGCTGAAAACCGGAAAACGACTACTGAACGCAGAAAATAATCCTTTCTTCAAATTAATTTTAATATTATTCGAAGTACTGCGCACGGGTCAACTACAGGTAAATAGGTAATAGATATTTGACAGTGGTGGATCAAGGATTTAATTTTGGGCGGGGCCCATAGTCCATATCTTAAAACTTAAATTCTTATTTTTTTTATTTATTATTTATTTTTTATATTTATAACCTATGATTATGTTTAAATTATAATAATATTGTGAAATGTATACAGGCCCGGCGGAACGCACAGGCAACACAGGCCCATGTCTAGGCCGGCGTTATGTAAGAGGCAGCATTTCCTTGGTGGTAGGCAGGGCCGTATTTTGGATAATAATATGTTGCTACTTAGCAACTTGGCCTAACGCAAAAACCGAAAACCGTTTTTGAACCACCGATGAGAAAAAAAGAAATTATTTAATTATTTAAAAATAATAAAAAAAAGAAGTGATAAGTATCCGGCAATTAACTAAATTTAGTTTTGGATGGGACGGTTTACGTACAAGTACAAATGTATAATACTCTAAAATTGAACTTAATATAACGTGTATATTAACATTCGATTTTTCCCCGAAATTACGACGTCACGTTCGTCGAATGTCGGTACTTTATAATTTCACAGAATAATTATTCTGAGACAATAATATACTATACTATTGCTTATAATCCAAATTGTTTATTTTTGGCGCGGCGACACGGGCAATAATGTGCTGATAATACTAGCAGAGCTCATTAGTATTATTTGTTTTTCATCCGTCGCTTTGAAGTGACCCCCTACAATTTTTTTACAATTACTGACAACGGTGGCTGAAAACGTACCCATGTTATAGTATATTGTATGATTTGTATGTATATTTTTGTAAAATAAATTTGTACCTACATTATTAGTGATTAATTATTATTAAATTATTAATAATTTTGACAGTAAATATTATAATTGGTATAATGATATATAATATTAGCGTGGATATTATTAAAGTCATTCGATCTTCAAGTACCTACGGTTCAGCGTTTTTTAGTTAAGTATTGAACTACCTATAATCATAAGAAAATCGTTTCATGTGAAATCGTTAGTTTACGGGTGAATACCTTCTCAAAGCTGAAAAAAACTTCAAACGCTCATGAAAAATTAATTTATCTTTCCATCAAATTTTGTTGTTGTTTTTATAGGTAGTAGAAAAACTTAAAATTTTAAAATCTTAGATAAAAAAGAAAACATTTAAAGAACTATTGTGAATTTACATTAAACTTTTTTTAAAAGTCTTACGAGGAGCTTTGTATTAAATATTCAAGTTTTTTATGGAGCGAACAATTTTACGTCGATAAGAATTTTAAAAAAGTTAATAAAAGTAGGAAATTTCTTATGCCTATAAATAATTCAAAATTAGTCAAATCATTTTGAATTTTATAGTGTACCTACCTACTCTTACAGAAAATTCTAGTTTAAACAGTTGGTGAATAAATTATGTGTTTACAGTTTTTAGAGTTCTTTACAGTACTTTTTTGAGTTGCTCTAAAATCATAAAATTGATTTTTTTCAAAAACTGGTTTTGCTAACTTTTTTTCTGAAAAATTGAGTGTAAATCCACAATGTAAAATATTTTGCAATTACAAATTAACATTTTTTTCAGTTTTTATAGACAAAGAATTGAAAATGTAAAACAAGATATTTCATATTAAGTAGGTAGTTCCATTGATTTTAAGTACTATTTATGGTAGTTCATACTGTCACCAAAAAATCTAAATAAAATATATAAGTACAGTTTTTGTAATTGCTATTTTGAGCTATAATATAAATGTATGATAAATAAAAATAAATAAATGTATGATATACAGAGCAGACTAGTTTGAAAGCATCCTTTGGAATGCAGTTAGGATTTATTTTTATTTCATTAAAAAGCAAAAGCTAAATATTTCATAATTTCTAAAGTATTATCTTTACATTTATTTATCTGAGTAAGTATGAAATCTAAAACCAATTAAAAAGCATCTTGAAATAATTCATCTGATGGTGTTATCATACAGGCTGTTAACAATGAAACCAAACTGTTAACATCTGACGGCCGACGGGTATTATCATTTATCAATATACAATATAGAAATGTTGTTGTATATTAAGTATTATGTACCTAGATTGAAATCTGTAAATTTTTCAAAGCATTATACTACCTTATTTAAACTATAAGAGAACAGATTTCATGTTGATTTATGCTAAAATTGATAACTTATTATAGGTAGGTAAATAGTAAATATTAATTACCTGATGGCCTGTTCCCAAAATTATTATATTACTTAGTATCCATACACCAATACACCAATGTAATAACTACCCAATACAAGATATGGTACTTAATTGATAAAAGAAAAAGCAGTGACACTTTTTGGGGAAGAATTGTTTTTATTAGTTTAATTTTTATAGGTATATTTAAAATGAATGTATTTTTTTTTTTGTGCTTATAAAGTTTAAGATTTCTGCACTAGAAGTATTAAAATATAATATATATTATACATATTATAAAGTATCTACTACAGTAAATAGCGGAGGCAATATTTAGTTGTTTTCAATGATAATTCATACAACTAATGTCTCATTGTAAATACAAGGAACAATTGAATGCTTTAATTCTATAGAATTTTCTTGAAATATTAAAATAAATATTTTTGTAAATAGTTAATAATATGTATTGTAATTGTTTATAATGTATTTTATTTAATTTCGATAAAATAGTGTGACAAGTATGTATGTTTAGTATACTACTACAGAATACCTAAGTGATAAATACCTATTTTACTTCTTGGTGTTTATGCATTATAACTTACAAGTAATAATGTGGTTTTTAAAACACTTACAGACTACCATTTTAATTCTTCATTATTTTTCATTATAATTTATACATTGAACATGTGATTAATGAAGATAATAGTTGATATACACATTATTTTAATCAATAAAAAACACAATATTTGCCCTTATATTTATATTACTATCATAGCTTTAATAGTAACAATTACTTAATATAATAGAATCAATGCATTTAATATTCATAATATTATAAAATGTCTTAAAATACTACTGATCCAATAGGTTCTGCTCTGATTGCACTCAAATCAATTGAGGAATCCATCGTTTCGTCTACTTCACCAATTATAGCACTGAAAAGTTTACAACTATTTATTAAAAATATATTTTCAACTATAAACAATTATAAAACATACATTATTTATTTATAAAAAAATTTGGACAAAGGCCCAAATCGACATAATTACATGTAAACAAAATACAAACAACAAGACTATCAAATATAGTTAAAATAATTAAAGTAGATAAAAATTATCAATAAGCTGGTTAGAAACTTTCATAATTAGTTATTAGTAGAACATACAACACATAGAAATAATAATACACTGTGTTCTAAATACTATCAAACAATTATAACAGCAGAAGTATCAATGTTATTGTCAACAAATAGCTACATTTGATTCAATGATTTATTAATGTATTTTAGCTTGAATTTTAAAGGTATGCACAACAATTATCCAATGTTGCAAACACTAGGGGTAAACTAGGCGTGCATTCAAGGGATGTTTAAACCATGATATAATTTAATGAGCAATTGTAAAATTTAAATAAACAAATTTTAGTTGATATTAATACTTTTTTCTTAACAAGCCCTTCATAAATAATTTTTCTTTCGTAAAACGTGACTTACAAAAATCTACAGCAAGCAGTGAGAATAAAGGCAAAAGATTTAAATTATTTGGGTATGTGTTTAATGAAATGTGTTTCCATAAGATTTTATTATATGTTGTTTTGATAATATTGTCAACTGTTTAATATTTTAAACAAAAAATATTAAGTAACAAATTAAATGGTTACAAATCGTAAATAATTAGGTGATAAAAACCAAAATTCAATAAATAAATGGCTTGTTGATAGAAGAATATTTATTTAATACAAAATTGTATAAATATATACACAAGGTAGGTATTATTCTTGTTTGTGAAACCAATAAATGTATCCATTTTAGAAAGTTTTCTACAAATATGTATATTTCAACTGGTAAATTTTTGTTAAAATAAATAAGAATATCAGCCATAAGAAAGGTTTCACAGTGGAGGATTTTCTGGTTTTATGTAAATACTTAATGCTGATGAGTATTAGTAATATATATTTCAATTATCTTAATGTGTCAATGAATAATGATCACCAATCAATTTTTCATAAGACCTAAAATAATTGTTATATTTATATATAATATTTTGTTATAAAAATATATCATCTAACAATTTTGATCGTTAAATGTAATTTATAGTATGTATGTTACTTTTAAATATAATTATGAGTCTAAAAAATTATAAGATTATGTTTGAATTAATACTTACACATTGTCACCACGAATGAGATGTAAACCTAATATAATTTGTTCAACACCTTGATTCGGGCTGTATACACGTTCATGGCTGTCGTCTAAGATTATATTTATAGTTTGATCAAATCCTTTGAGGGTACCCTAAAAAAAAAAATTAGTTAATACATTTTTTTAATAAATTGTGAAATATTTATTAAGAATCAGTTTATTTACCACAAAGTTTCTGCCATCTGATGTTATAATAGAAACAGTATCTAACAATAAAAAAATAAGGAAAATAGTACTTACATCACATAACCCAATCAAAGTATACTAAACTACTAATTTAACTAAGTTTTTGTAAAATTGTGCAGTTCATTCTAAGATGATTATGTACTAACGATAATATTTTGCTCGTTCTGTAGAGCTACACAGTGTTTATACCAATAAACATATGCAGTTATAAAATTATTTTTAAAACTAAGATATCTGTGGTGGTTTTTATTTAGTAACCAACAATGTAACAATGAACTTTATGTAATATTTATTTTATTCAAAGGATACGGTTAACATAGCTCTCCAGTCCTGAACTCATTGTAATACTCGGAAGTATAGCAAATTATGATCAGTCTTGAAGCTGAAAATAAAATAGCGTTAAATTATAAGGTAACAACTGTACACATACAAATAAACTAATGTTAACTAGGTATAAATAGTATTTTACACAAATATAGTAAAAATATAACAGTTCTATAAATACAAATAAATTGAGTGTACATACAACTATTATATAGATATTTCACTTACAAGTGGTCAAAAACCGACTGAGAATTGAAAAAACTTGAAATTAAAAAAAAGAGGTGAAATTAATTTAACATAAGCATAACTGTTGATAAATATTTATAAAAACTTGAAACAGGTAAAAGAATAACATAAAATACTAAACATGTCAAACACAAACTCAAATCGCGGTTTACTTGTTTTTCGGCGTTACAAAGATAAGAATGACATTATCTTTTATCATTGTTGTCACCATCGGTACAGTAACCAATAACCAGGTAGTGCTAAAATATATTAAATAATAATTAGTCTATTTTGGTATTTCGTCATGTCATGAACAAAAATTATTTAGTTTCATGGTCATGCATTTAAAATTTTAATTTTAAGGTTTTTAATAGTGGGTTTCACCTTGAATGTCATAGTCTTAAAATAAATAATATATCACACTATATTTATATGGTGGATACTCGAACAAACACCTCATAAGAATAATAGGTCCATTCTGCAAAGTTCAATATTATTATCCATAATTAAATTTTAGCTCATCACAATTTTTACTTTGTTCGCCGGTAGAAAGTGGTTATGCATAATTTAAAATGAGTCTTACTCAACTACCCAAACCCAGATGTCCGAAGTAACCTTAATATCTCCGTACCTACATGCTGTGTTGGGTAAACAGTAAATTACTTTTGAAGTTTTGACTTATTGAGTAATAAAATTATGTTACTCGTTACATCAAATAATTACTTGTACCAATTATTTAATATTTTAAATACATTCTACATCCGAAACTTATTTTAATAACGTGGAAAATAACACGTTACTCTCCAGAAATTACTCTTACGTTACTATCCGATGCGCGTATTTGTATGACGCATGTTTCCTATATTGTGTACATTATGGTAGAGACAAGAGTACCTGAAACTAACTTTAGATTATCACTCAAGAACAGCTCGGTTTATCGGTTCGGCTAATTTTTGTTGTTGTGTCTGTAACTTTGAGAACAAGGATTGTTTGAGAAAACGAATTTGGTAACTCACTAACCACCTTGTTTTTAAAATGATTATTATTAATTATGAATCTCCAATTCTCTCATGACTCCTACTTTACAAAATTCCTATTGGCGACACTACTTCACGAATGTGTAATACATTTGGGTAATTTTCAGATGACTGACTACTGAGTACCTATACACCTCTGCATGATGAACATAAAAATAATATAGTAGTAAGATTTTGAATTATCCTCTGATCCTAAAGGTTAGCAAATAGTAGCTGTTTGGCTCCCAGCTTGGAAAACAAAAATTATAATATGCCACAGGCCCATTCATCAATGAAAGCATGACCAACAGGAGCTGTTGAAGCTCTATTTAAATGGATCACATTAAAACTAATCAATCTTTAAAAGGCCATCTAAAACTAAAATAATTTAAAAAAAAAAATGCATAAAGCAACTTTATTTTTATAAAGGAAGCTATAAAGTATAAAGTTATGAGATACTAATGCACTATTATATAATTTAATCAAATAAATCAATTTTAATTTTTAACACATAATATTTAATAAACCACTTGTTTGGATACATTGAAACTATACAGGTAGTCCAGATGCTTTGTCACTCAATAGTTTCTGTTTGAAAATAAAACAAGAACAATAATTATTATTTTATATATAAACATGGACTATCAAATGTTTTATCTTGAAAATACATACTTTTACTATGGAAGCAGATTGACAAAATGAAAGTCCTACGTTACGTATTAATGTTGTAATAGCAGCAGGCACTAAATTGTTTTTGCTACCATAAATTTTCTGAATGCCATCAACACCTAACATAATAGGTATATTACGACGCTGTGCTGCAGTTTGATAATTTAAAAGTGCATTCAGATCTCCTATGTGAAAAACATAATTTAAATGTTTAAAATCAGTACTTTTTTATAGTACTGACTAAATACTACTAAGAAGGTACTACAAACCAATATCAGCGCCTGTTAATACTGATTGGTTAAGTTGATCACTTAATTCAGTAACATCACTAAAACCTAAATTAACACCTTGGCCAGCCAAGGGATGTATTCTGTGTGCAGCATCTCTAAGATACGTAATGTATAAGTTCATTAAAAATTATTTTTAAAAAACTAAATTATTATTAAGTATTTACCCAACTAAAGCAACACGCTGACCAACATATTGACATGCATGTCCAAAGCCTAATGGGAATGATGCTCTACTATCTTTAGTTACACCAACGACAATTGGTGGAATAGATTTTATTTTTTTGTTTTGATTATTCTCATTATTTGATTGGCAGTATTTATTGAGTACCTTGGACACTAAATGAGCTGCATCGTCTGCTAATAGTAAACTACTTTCGTTTGATTCTTTTTCTTCCTAATCCATAGGATTATAAAATTATAAGACAATTGATAGTAATACATTTAAGTATTTAACTTTTTTTAAATGTACCGATAAATTGTCATTTAAAGCATCAATAAATTCATTGTCACTCAACTCTGCTAAGCGATTTGCTTCTTCATAACTTGTTGTCCATACTAGTGAACATGTTTTATCATCCAACTGTTTGTTGATAGTACAAATCAAAGTATTAAAACATTAAGAACATTCTTATAAGTTATAACATTGATTATCAATGGACATAAATTATAATAAACTTAATTGGTAACTCACGGGTAATAAAGCCACTGGACCTAACTGAGCAAATTTTTGCCAAGCAACATGTCCTTTATAGATATCATTCTGAAATACACAATGTATTTAATAACAATAACAGTGAATAATTTTATATAATACATTATTCAAAACAATTTTACTTCATCAGACTGTATATGTAAAGTTGCCACGACTGCACGTTGACCATATTCCCAACCAACATACTGCTGACCACTAATGGCAGAACGTACTTTAGAACCATATCCATCTGAGCCAATCTAGGAATGTGGAGAATTTTTTTTTACTTTTATTACATATTTTAAAGTTGAACTCATAGTAAATTTCACCCACTAAGAGACTAGTTTCAAAGGAAGACTCTCCGTTTGCCACTTTTATAGTGGCTAAATCTCTATGGGAATCAGACAAATTACATTGATTAACCCGAGAATCATAATTTACAGTAATATTTTGCTCTTCGTTAATTTGTTTGTACAGTGCTCCAAGAATAGTGTCATTTTCAACAATATATGCTAAATCATTGGCATTGTCAAATGTTAACACGTTGTTGACACCACCACTTCTACCTGCACCAGAATTCCAAATCTAAAATTTTAATCAAGTAGCATAGAAAATGTCTCTTTTCGTTTGTTTTTTAAATACCTACTCGCATTTCTTTGACTGCATTACAGCGTTCTAAATCTTCTATGATTTGCCATGCCCCAATCGATTGTAAAAGTTGTACACTTGATTTGCTCACGGCAGAGACCCTATTACTGTAAGGCTTGTCAAGGGTATTTTTCTTTGAGCACAAATCATATTCTTTACGTTTTGGACCTCCTTCTAATAGAAGGATGGACATGCCACGTAGTGCAGCTTCTTTAGCTGAAATGTAATTTAAATTAAACATTGATAAATACTTTCTAGTAATGATTGGACAAATAATTACATAATTTGCAGGCCATGGCACAGCCCACCATTCCGCCACCAGCTATAACGACATCGTAGTATTTCTTATTCGAAGAGTAATTTGCGACATTACCCAGGGACAAATACAATCGGTTGGCAAATAAGTTTATTGACATCATTTTCGTTTTCAGATTTATGCGCGAAGACATAAAATTCATTCTTTGGTACATTTTTTCAACTAGTTCATAAATAGATGTTTTAAAATAGTGTCATTAAAAATATAAAACAATACAGCTGCTAGTGAAATCACATAACATGAAGAAAGTTGTGTAAACAAATTGGCCACAAATAAAATGTTTAAAAATCTAAACAGAATATATTATAGCAACAATATTATAATAGTTAATGTAGCGTTGATATCATTAAATGAATAAAATGAACATTGGAACGAAAATTGTGTCAAAACTTCAGATAAATGAATGCTGGCCAATGCAAAACTAGTATACGACTTGATTGTATTTCAATTTAAAAACATTTATAATTTAATTATTTAATTATAAATTAGAATGAAATATTAAAAAATTAAAATACCCGAGTTGTAAACAATGTTGATTGATTAATCCCACTTGAAAAGTACAAAACCCAAAAAAAGTAAAAACCCGCTTAGTAATTTTATTATCATCATAGAATTTTGTGGTGTTATCAATTATCATATTATATAGAATCTATCTTGAACCGTGGTCACAGTTATTTTGTGCCGTGGTTACCACCTTATCAGAATGCGATAAGTGAGCTCATAGATAACTATAAATTGTTTATCTTTATTATTAATTATATTGTAAACATTGTAAACCAATAAACTAATTACCTATTTAATTATTTACAATATATTTTCACTGTCAATTTGTCATATTATGTCACTTGCTGTTTAAAATTAGTACTATTTACTCCAAATACCGGTTTATTGTTGAATGTGTATACTATGACCGATAAAAAGTAATTTAAAAGTTAGCAATTTGTAAACAATTGAAGTGTATTATACGAATTCAGTTTTTTCTTCTCAATTTTCGGGCCTTTGATTAATTTTTAAATGCATCATAAATCATAATACATTTAAAGTATCAAAAATACTAACTGCAGCCCAATATCTGAGGTTGGTATAGTTTTTAAATATTTATTTCCTTGATAGTCGACTGGGCCTGTCCAATAATGACCGAGGGCGAATCTTATTAACCCTCAGTTTTTATATCAGGTCACACCCTTACATTGACTTACGCAACGGTGAGGCGAACTTGATAAATGCTAATAGGTACCTTACATATATTTTTTTTCAGAATTGATTTTTCAATTTTGTAACCACATATTTCATGAGTTTAAATAAACCAGAAAAGATGCCTTCGTTGGACGCAAACGTTGTGAAAATAGCGGTTGAAATGGAATCTGAAAATCCACAACTTAAAGAATTCAATCAAAAGATACCTTTAACCAACATAATCCAGGACTTGTGTAGTGGTTGGGACTTAACTGATCCTGAACAATATGCTTTGAAATTTTCTGAAAAAACAAACCAAAACTATGTCACTGAAAAAAATAGGAATGAAATTAAAAATGGTTCTGTATTGAGACTTGCATTTTCTCCTTCTAAGATTGCATACGACATACTGCAAACACTTCATTCTGAAGGTTCTGACGATAAAAATGAAAGAACTTCTGCCCTACAAAAGTTAGCAGAATGTAGTACTGATATAACATTTGCTCTTGAATTCATAAATAAACAAGGATTGGCTTTAATTATAAGCTTAATTGAAAGAGGTATAACATAACTAATAATTATATATCTGTTGTTAAGAACTTAAATATTTGAATAATTTTTTGGTTGCAGGTAAATGTCAAGGAGCAATGTTAGCTAATGCGCTTGCTTCATTTGTCGAGTTAATGGACCATGGAATTGTATCTTGGGATATTTTAGAAACTCCATTTATTAATATGGTTGCCAGCTATGTTAATAATCAAACATCTAGGCCACAAGAAGCAAAAGTTGTACAATCTTCATTATCTATATTAGAAAGTATTGTTCTAAACAGTTCTGCTAAGTATGGTCAAGTAGAAAAAGAAGTAGGATTTCCTAACCTTGTACTACGTCTTGAAAATCAAAATCCGATCATCCAACAAAATGCACTCTCTTTGATAAATGCTTTATTTTTGAAAGCCGATCCAGCTAAAAGAAAAATTATTGCTAGTACCTTATGTACGAAGCAAGTTCGCAATGTTATACTACAAAATATCATACAAACATCATCTGGTGAAGTTGGATCTGAAATGGCTCACCAACTTTATGTGATGCAAACATTATGTTTTGGACTGCTTGAAGAAAGAATGAATACCAAAATGGACCCACAAGATCAAGATGCTCACGAAAAGATTAAGGTGAGCACCCATTTATAAATTGTATTATGTTCATTGACAGTAAATTTTAATTTTAATTTATTTCAAATTTAGGAGTTGCGAAAGATTGCATTTGAATTGGATACAATTAGTGGTGGAGATGCTAGTAGACGACAACTTAGTCCATTTACCAAAGATTATAAAAAATTGGGCTTTAAATATGACATAAATCCTGCATTAGATTTTACAGAGACTCCTCCCGGAATGTTAGCTTTAGATTGTATGGTATATTTTGCTCGTAATCATGTTGATGCTTATACAAAAGTAAGAGTTCTAAGCTACCTAAACCATAAAAAAAATATTTTAACTGATTATTTTATACTAATTTTAGGTTGTTCTTGAGAATTCATGTAGAGCAGATGAACATGAATGTCCTTTTGGTCGATCATCTGTTGAATTAGTACGTTTACTTTGCAACATACTTAGGATTGGCGAACTTCCCAGCGAACAAACTACTACATATCATCAAATATTTTTTAGCCATGATCATCCTTTCCATGAATTATATTGTGTTTGTATTGTATTACTAAATAAAACATGGAAGGAAATGAGAGCAACAACTGAAGATTTTGTCAAAGTAAAATTAAAAAACTGTTCAAATACACTATTTATTTTTATGCAATTTTATAATATTTTTTGAAAAAAATTGATAAGGTTATAAGCTTTGATATTTTTCTAGGTATTAAGTGTTGTACGGGAACAAATCACTAGAGCTTTAGGTTCACAACCAGCTAATTTGGAAAAACTTCGACAAAAATTATCTACTCTCACTTATTCTGAAATAACTAATCTATGGCAACAAGAACGTACTTCTAGAGAGCAATGGGAGAGCCATGCTCGACCTATAGTACAACTTAAAGAGTTAGTTACTCCTGAGATTGTGCAACTTATTAAAAAACAACGACTCAACTACATGGTTGATGGGACTCGTTTTACTAAATATTCACAGCGTGGGCAGGTTAACAAATCCTAAAATATAAATTATAAACTTACATACTAATTTTTTTTTTTTTTTTAGAGAGTTAAAGATAAGTTTTGGTTTGTAAGATTATCACAAAACCATAAAGTTTTACACTATGGTGATTGTGATGATAAAAGTGTCCCTACAATTGAAGAACTGCCAAATAAGTTGGGAGTGGTCGATATCAAAGCATTGCTTACTGGTAAAGACTGTCCTCATATGAAAGATGCCAAGTAAATTTACTAACATTAAAAATAATTGAAATATGAATAAATAATTGTAGTTGATTAATAATTTTATGTTAATAGGGGCCGAAAATCCACACATCAATTAGCTTTTTCATTGACTTTAGATTCTGTGGAAATGACACCTCTTTATTTTGTCGCTCCAGATGAAATGGTTTATGATTATTGGGTTGACGGAATAAATGCATTACTAGGTAAATAAAATTGTATATGTATATATATATATTTGAGTTTAGGGCTTTGAGATTTAAACCTCTAGAATATAATCCTCCTGAGCAAATGAATAAATATTTCAAATGTTTACCCTTTTATATTGATTTGTATTAAAATTACAAATTTGTCATTAATATATTAAAAAGTGTGTTTAGTGGGTATTACTGTATACCAAAGTAATCCACTAGAAATACTTAAATTATTTAGAAAATATAAATATCTTGTACATATATTTTCAGTGATAACACATATTATGTACAAGATTTTTATATCAACAGTGATAATTTAACACTGCTTAAATATTAAAATGTAATTATAGTCTATTTTATATACTCAGGGGATAATATTTATTAATACAAAATTAATTTAGTTGTAGGGAAAAAATTTTGTTTTATAAGACTTGTTCGTTATATAAATTGTACTTCTTAATATTGAAAATATTATTTAGGAAATAAAATGACAAGTAAAGAAGCTGAGAATGATTTGGAAACATTATTATCAATGGAGATAAAGCTTAGACTTCTGGATGCCGAAGGAGTTGGAGTAGATATTCCTCAAGATCCACCTCCTGTACCTGCTGATCCACCAAACTATGAATTCTGTTACGATTTTAAATGAAGTTCTAAAAAAATAGTTTATGACCAAATTATTTATTTATAACATATACTATCTAGTATCTAAACTACTAGGTTTATAAGGGTTCTAGTAAGGTAAACTTTAATTTTTTGTATTGCTGCTATGGAGGGAACTATACATGAGCAATATTTCCCTCCACTTTATTCTGTTCCAAAATAGAATACACGGAAACTGGTCACCGCCTGGGGTGTTCTCTTTTGAAACGGAGTATAGTGAGATATCCTGAATAAGCATGAATTATTAAAAATTGTTTATTTAAATAAGAATTTAAATTTTAGTAAAACTATTTAAATGCAAAATCATTGTGTGTAGTACTCAAAAGTATAGGACTTTAATCCATAAGGAAACAATATATTTTTATATATTATATTTTTTTTTATACGTCATATTATAGTTTATTCGTATTTATTTTTTCTATTACTCATATATTTATAGTACTCTTTAATAAGATTAACTTTTTTATAAACTCGATCTAGTCTTTACAAATGAAAAAATGCATTTTAAGTTGTATTTAATATTTATATTAAAATAATTCATTTTTATTTTATTATTATTTTTTTGTAGAGTTAAATATATTTATCTTGATTATACTTGATTATATAGTAATAAAATATAGAATACTCATTTATAGACAAAATATTTGCTGAATAATGTGATATTAGATATAGTTATCAACATTTGTTTGTTCCTGTAGAAACAACTCAATATAAGACATTTGATCACATATTTATTAATTGATATTAAATTTACAATTATTCCAGGTATGACAAACCATTTAATTTTTATTGTCATTTTCCATTGAATTAACCATATTTAAATGTATCATTTTTTTGTGAATAGCTTCAAGTTTAGTCAATACCAATGACAGATGATTATTAAAAATAGCCTCTTTAAATTAGACACGACTTTCCCAAAGCATGTAATTTCATAAAAATATATTCTTACTATTGAGGTAATGTCAAACATATCCCGATCAATCGTTGGTGCCTGTAAAATATAATTTCATAAGTATATTATAATTTTATATAGGTACTCAATAAATAATTAAAAATATACTTAATCTAAAAGCTATTTGTAACCATGATACGTCATTATTGACTTTTAAGTGAATAATACAATTAATGGTAGGTGTATAATGATCTAATATTATACCTAACGATTAAGGAAATACAATATTTTGGTAAAAAATTAGATCAACATAGGTAATGTACTTGTTCAAAGAAAAATAATCAAATTATAAAACAACCTAAGTTAAGCCAGTTATGGTTATATAGAGATTAAAAACTCTGAAATGTCTATAAAGTAAAGCTATTTATTGGTATGATTAGATATTTTTAGCTACAAAATTTGAGTACAAACATTTTGAAATTAATTAAGTGTAACAACTAATAATGGATATTTTCATATCGAGAAATTAAAATAATATGGTAGCTATAAGTAGTATGTCAATATTATCATAGATTCATAGATATACCTCAATCAGAAATTTAAAATTGTTCAAAATATTATGCACGATGATATGAGGGTATTTAAATAAAATAAAATATGTTGTTTACCCATACGATATTTGAGTTGTAAAATGTTTTGAGTTCACAGCAAATTAAAATGTCTTAAATTGTTCTCGATAATAATTTATACCACCCATACCATAGACCAAAAAACAGCGCTTAAATGCATTCATATTGATCATTCACTCATGACAATCGCTTATATTATATAGCATTAATTTTAAATTGAGTACACTAAGGACTATTGATAGTGTTAAAGATTGTTTGGTGAGTGAACGTTGTTGATATAAACTGAATAAAATCTCTTTATTTATGTACGAATGTTATTGTTTAGTTTGAATAAGAATTAAAAATGTACATGGTGACAATGGAATAACTTCAAGTAGCTCACATAGTCGAATTAGATAATTTTTTTTTTTTATTTGTTTAGCGTTACAATAAAACAGTTAGAACAAATGTATCAGATATTTTACATTAGGTGGTTAATAATTTCTTGTACTGATAATATTACTTATTAGACAATACATAACAAAAACTAAATACGTAAACTTATAATGAAATATAGGTTACATGCTTATTGCTTATGTTTATGAACTTGACAAAGGTATTTTTCAAAAAAAATTCGAAAATTTTTTATAGTTTTCTGATTTCCGGGTTCTTCAAGTTTTTACCTAAACCTAATTATACGATAAAAAGCAAAAGATAATTTTTTCTTACTTTCAATTTAATCTACTGGTGTTTATTCAATTTTTTATTTCTTGTTTACCTACTTATTTAAATCATTCAATTTTATGTTTACGATGAAGATTCGTTATTTTTATAACCTGGTCATTTAATAGTTATGAACTGTGAACATTTTTATACCAAGTATTCAGACAGTAATAATACCTATTGTTTTCTTGTATATTTTTTCCGAAATGCATCAGTGTGCTCATCGAAGACGACCTCTCCGAATTAACATTGCAATGTAATAATTATTAATTACAGACCATTAGATATTTTTAAAAACTAAAATATGACAAATTTTCGTTAATATTGAAACAATTTATCAAATAAAAAATAATCATAATTTTTCAGGGGGGTGGGGCACAATACGAAAATCTCTCAGCTATTAAGATATAAGGACACTTGAAGAGAATAGTTTTGTTTTTATTTGGTTAGGGTTTTAGACACTAATTCGATCTTGTCCTAGTCATTATACTCGTAGGTAATAATGGAATTTAACTTATAATTACAGCTTCCGCAAAACAGTAAACAAAAAGAAATTCTCGGTCTTTGGGGGAGGGGGGAAATGCCCCTATGCCCCCCTCAAATACGCTATTGCTAGAAAAGTTATGGAATATTAATTAAACCATTTTTCTGTGGGTAAATAATTATCTTTTAATTAATAATATTGGCAACAATATCTTAATATTAACAATCCGTGTTAGGTCGCCCTTCAGTTATAAACTGGGCCACCCCCACCTCTACGCTGCACCCTCAGACAGCTGTCCCACCACGGATGGTCAACTCAACTCGGCTGGCGGACACATCCGGCGCATACTAGTTGCCTCCTAAAATATACGAATTGCCTCCTGTCCTTATCGTAAATAAAAAGGTTAATTTACACGAGTTGCCTCCGATGACAAGATAGTTCATAATTATATACGAGTTGCCTCCCAAAAAGTTTCACACTAATTGCCTCCCATATAGAATTAAGTAGTGGTTCATAAACTTCACCAAACAGTTCCACATAAATGAATAATGTTTATACTTTATTCATTATTAAAAATATCAGACTTGGTTAAAAATAATAATAATATAAAAATAATCAATAAAAATAAAACATATTATAGGTACTACTTATTTAAAATATATAGTGCAGTTAAAAAACATCAGTCAAATAATAAATCTATAAGTTAAACAAAATAGGAAGTAGTACCTATTATTAGTCAATAAAATAAATGTATGGTAATAATAATATAATATAATATGCATATAATTTTAAAAAATTATTTATTACATTGTTTAGGCTTGTATTTTTTAGCCAATATTTGTAAGTACTCAAAATTTGATATTTATTTTTTATTTAACTTTTTTATTTGGGTATCAATGAAAATTATTTTGTTTCTAATTTGTAATCGTCTATGTAGTTTAGGCTTATGAGAACTTTGTATTAAAATTACAGTCTCGGTCTGAATTAATTTTAAAATGTCAATAAATTTGAATATATTAGGATGCGGAGACTCAAAATAACTATTAAATTTGTTATGGAAGGATTCGCATGCATTGGTTGTGCGATGAATGCTGGAACTTTTTCTACCCATACATGAGGTGGAATAATTGAATCCTCTGATATATATGTATCTACTAAATAGTCTGAAAATTGAGTTATTTTATCATCTAAAGGTTGTATGGCTGCTAGTCCCATTGAAAACATATCTCCAACTTCCGCTGGGTTCAAAAATGATAAGCCAAATATGTACGTTAAATATTGTCTTATCAAATCGTCATTAGAGTATTGCGAAGCTAATCCAAGTGACTGAATTTTACGCCACCAAGCTTGCCCAAGATGAAATTGACAACCTCTTATAGAAATATTTGGCCATTTACATGTTATAGAATTGTGTATGGCTTTTTCAAAATCAATATAAATTATGTTTGTCTAAAAATTACTATCTATTTTTAAGCACAACGTATTTAATACATTAGATGTACTAGTATATGTTTGTTCACTTTTATCTTTTAACAAAAAAAAAGCAAGAGGTATGTAATAATTATTGAGAAATCCATGAATGGTAAATAATTAAGTGAAATATTTGGTGCAGTATTGAAATGTTCCATCTACATATAGAGTATCAATTTTTACGAGATATTCCAAATTAGTTTTAGTAGAAAATAAAACAATCCCGGATTCTATATCATTGTGTAGTAAAAATTGTTCATTTTCATAAATAATATATTTATATCTATCTCTTCTAAAACATTACTAACTTCATTTCTCGTTTTAGGTAAATTCGGCAAAATTGAGCTACGAGCTCGATGTAAATTTTTTTTATGTATAATACATCGGTAGTTGTGATAGTGTTTATTTTATGGTGTCTTAATTCTGCATGTAAAAACTTTGAAGCCTTGAAGGCCTTTCACATAATAATGTTTCAGTGACTGCTTTTCTTTTTAAAGAGTTACTAATTTCTTGCCTCTTAAGTACTTGTTCAGTTAATGCTACATGATTATTATGTATCAACTTACTTTCATCGAATAATACTTTGTCATATTCATCTACTTTTAAAAAAGCCTTACATATTTTTGTTGTACAATTCCACCGTTCTTTATTGAAGGCTAACTTTTTTTGAAAACTAAATTTAAAACTTTTAATTATTTTAACACGTTTGCCCTTTTCACTAAGTATATTTCGCACTTCACATTGATCCATTCTAAAAATGTTTGTAAAAATAATATCGTACAACGAGAACGAGTGTTGGAAATCAACTATAAACGTTCTGGT